GGCCCACTGCTGGGCCACAAAAAGATTTTGCAGTGGGCCACAGACCTATTTAAAATTGCTACTTTTATGTCACAATAGTTAACTTTGATTGTAGCAGCAATCAATGACGATGCTGTTTTCTGCTACTGAGAGATAATTCCCATTTTAATTATTGTAGTGGTGGTCACGGTGTGTCAACTCTAAAACAGTGTCCACTTGGATCACAGTGTGCCACAGATGTTGATACTAAAAATTAACTTGTGGACCCCTTTTTTTCTTATTATGCTTTGACGGGACAGCACCCTCACGAACGAATATTACAGCCTGAGCTCTCCAAATCCCCATGAACAACAGTCTACTTGACTGGATACAATCAAATGTATTATAACTTGGAAAACGTGTAACAGACGATCAAGGATTGCAAAATCAGGTCGAACACAATAACACTCGCCAACAGTTGGTGAGGTACGAAAAAGCCGGTAATTAATTATAGTGTCACTCGGGTATAAATAAATGCAGTACCAATAGATTTCTAAACAGTGAGAAAACATAATTGTTACACCTACGGACACACGAATGAATTACGAATACAAGTCCATGTTGGGAGAGCCAGAACTAACTAAGAACTGCAGACGGGGCAATTAGCCTAACGCGCAGTACGTCGAGAACACAAGTGAACAGCACGTGGTACTATCCCAAAGTCAGAAGGTGACTACTCTCTCGCAACACCAAGTGGACATAAGCCCACGGGTACGTGTGCCAATATTGCACTTCATAAATCAATGACCATTACAATTATAAACGATAAAGTGTTCATTTTGGCGGAAAGATCTTGATTTTTCTTGTAGTTTTCAACCTGGCAATAAAAAGTTAATGGACCACAAGAATTTTTGGGCAACAAAAATGGGCCACGAAAACAAAAAGGTTGAGAACCAATGGTTTAGCTATTTCCATACTCAACTTAGGCTGGTAAGTCTATGAGTGGACGTAGTTAGAAATATGATTAAGCCATGTTACCTCTCTCCCGAGAGAAATATAATAATTCTAACCTGATACTGAAATCGTACTTTGACAAGAGGTCTCGGTTAACCGATTGATTAGACCAATTTATCTATTTTATATATTTATGATTATAGGTTAAACCTATAGCATTTTTACAATACAAGAAATCAAGAGAGCTATGTTCAAAAATTTGGACACGTAGCGCTCATATGCGTGCGCCGGACCGCCACATGGTCCCAAATTTTGATAACGCCATAGCATACAAAGAACGAATCCCATACAGCTCACCGGAATATTTGAAACAAATAAACGGAATAGCCTTTCATCTGAAGCACTGAAAATTTCAAAGCGGTTGGTCCAGTAATCAAAGAGAAGAGCCAGAATTTTTTTCTGTGACAAATAACAACAAAAACAACAACATGTTAACAAAACGATCTATAGGTCCACTACTTGTCCAATAACACTATAAGACCGACTCGAACGTCGTGTTTACCACAATATAGCTAGTCTTCAGCTGGATTGTATTTTACCTAATTACTACGGACGTCTAAGCAGGGAAGCGATCCCAAATATATGGGCACGAAGTAGTACGTGTATGCGGCCATTTACAGCAGTCTACCCGTGCGGTGTTTACGACTTCGCCTGACCACAAGATTGCTTACGCGAAGGCGGAACCGCCACAGGGAGCACAATTTTTTTATTTCGATGAAGTCATAGCACATGGAAAACGAATCCCATGCAGTGGTCGGCAACCTTCTGTCGCTCGCGGGCCAAAATTAAAGGTTGCAAGTCATTGGCGGGCCGCACATATTTTTAGAAAGTTAAAAATCGAATGGATGACCGATTAATCACATTTTATCACACAGATCAAAAGTTAAATTTTCAGCAGCGCGCGAAGACTGAGAATTTGAATATTTTTTGCGCCATTAAACCATTTGCACTTAGCCTCAACTTTTCTGCGTTTTGGTACCATTTGTCTAAATTACAATTAAAAGCTCATTAAACGAGTAATTGTGAATTATATACTTGTTACGTTATAATATAATTTAGTCTACACGTAAATTCCTTTTCGTAAAGAATATAATCGACAAAACAGCTATAATTTATTACTATAATTGAAGTGTATCAGTGAAGCGTCGCGGGCCGGATTATATTGCTCACGTCGGCCGTAGGTTGGCGACCCCTCCCATAGAGCCAAAGAGATTTTTAAAATAAATAAGAGTAAAAGCCTTCAATCTTTCGCCGCTGAAAATTTCAACGTCATTGGTCCAGTAGTTAATGAGAAGAGCGCTTTTTTCGGTACTCTCGAAGTATGTGAACCAAGATAGCGGACATCGGAACGTAGTGTGTGTACCAGGCATCGCCGGATTAACCATTAAACAATATAAACACGTGCTTAGGGCACCAAGCAAAGAGGGGCACCACAGAAATTTTAGAGCAGAATTTTATATAGTTTATCGGTGTTTATTAAAATATTACGAGTTCACCAGACGACTTAAACTTTGAAATGATTGCTTATTATTTGTCTTCAAGTATCATATTAACCTTCTTCATTAAAATCAAACACTGAAACTTATTTATTGGACACGAAATGGGCCTATGAGTCGTTTCCATAAATTGTTGTTGTTTTTTTTCCTAGTATTCCTTTTTGCTGCATTTTTGGTTTTAAAAAAATTTCTTTTCTCTTTAACAATTGGACCAATGAACTATTTGCACTATGTGGCGGTTCCACGATCGCTTTTTCATCAATATCGGCAGTAAACGGCCGCTAAATATATCGGCTATATATAACAGTTGAAAAAACTAAAAATGTTCGTAAAAGTTGTTTTATTTACTGTTGGTTGTGAATATTTTAATGGATAATTTCCCCTCCATGTGGTTTATTATTTTTATAATTAAATTATACATAAGGGGACACCAAAATCTTCAGGGCTTAGGGCACCAAAGGGGCATAATCCGCCCCTGGTACCAGATTAGGGTTAGGCCATAATTTCAGGTACAAATATTACGGCAATCACTTGGCTAGTCCCCGAACTCGTTCTATTACGAGTCTTACTAAAATAAGGAAAATTGGAATAAAATTATGGTCTAACCCTGGTTCACATAATTACGTTCTGGTGTCCGCCATCTTGGTTCACATACTTCGGGAGTACCCTTTTTTCATACGGTAACAAGAACAAAAAAATAATAACAAGCGGATCAACAACAACATAATAGGTCCCATAGGTCCATTTTGTGTCCAACAAGAAAGAAAAGAACGAGTTCGCTGGTTATCATGGCATTCCAAGAACGTTAGCGCAAATCCCCTGAATGTCACAACTGGTTCTGACCACATTTCAATAACGCCTGTGCTTTATATTTGATTTGCGCTTTAGGAGACCCTTATTCTCAGTCGTTCTATCTGTCTTTTTAGATATAACGTCTATACGGCTGAATCAATCTGGATGAAATTTACCACCCTAGTAATGTAATGTGCGTTTCATAGAAATTCCAAATTAAAGTTTCGTTTCCATGGCAACAACGTAGTGAAATCGCCATTTTTTCCACAATTTAATGCCGTTTTTTCGTCAACCTAGTCGAAAATTGAAATTGACGCTACCTCCCGCGGAAGAAAACACCCTTGCAAACAAGTCGTGTTTCATCTCGATACTCTATGAACTGGGGAAGCCTTAGAGACTTTAGTGAACATTATTACTTATCGATCTTAAGATCGGTAAGTATATTGATAGGTATTTGTCTGTATGTATGTGTGTATGTCTGTCTGTCTGTTAGATGCACGCGATATCTCACGAAGGCGTGGTTGAATCTGCTCCAAATTTTGCATGTGCATTCATCATATCTCGGACCAGAAGCCTATTGATTTTGGATGAATTATGTCGTATAATTAGCGAGTTATTAATTAATTAGTGATGAAGAGATCTGGATTTTCACAAATCGAGAGATTTTCGAGACGCGCTGAATGTGTGTGTGCGTATCAGATGCGCAAGTTTTCACGCTAGTGAGTCAGAGCGAAGGATACACACCGCTAGATCGTATCTCGTGATTGATCTTTGAGCCTTGTCCATATCTCTCTTGTAACTTTGACGTCGTCGCGATGCGCAAGTTTCCTTCGAGAAATTTTCCACACTATTGAGTCAGAGCGAAGGATACACGCCGCGAGATCGTATCTCGTTACTTATAATTACTCCTTAAAGTTTAAGCAATGTCCATATCCTTAAATCAGGTTCGGGGTTGCAGAATTCCTCACCAAAATATCGCTAGGCTGTGTTTGAATAGCCGTCGCAACCTGGGTTAGCGCCGTTGTATTTAACACAAACTATAGGATTGGTAAATACAGAAATAGGCTATTGGCTGAAAACTAATCAAAACAATCCAGTTCGGGTTTGCAGAATTTTTCGAATCGAAACCGCAGTTTCTGTTTTGGGGGATCCCCTAACTTTCGATCGATAAGTCTTCGGTTTCTGGCCGATATTCTCGTTTTTGGTATTAACTAATGTATACGCAAGAATGTATACGAAACGCGCAGCGCTTAAATGAATTGGCAGTTCCCAGTTTCGATAGCCATCCACTTACTAAATCACTCTGCCGTTATAGACCCGCATATTTCTGTGGATGGTAACCGGTTGCTTGAGTGTGAGCTCAACAATCAGCGGATATCCGCCTACCGGCTTGTTGTATCTATATTGTTATATTACTTGTTGTATGTATCGAATCGTGTATTCTCATAACAATGATTTCCAACAGTTGCAATCCACACGCGGAAGCGCTTTATAATGACCTATGATGTCATACAGTTATACGAATTAATATCTATGACGAAATAAAGTAATCACGCAAAATTGAATAGAATTATGCTTGGTCATATATGATTCATTACTAAACAAGCTTGATGTCGACAATCAACGCCAGACAATTGCACGGGAATGCCATTAAAAATTACAAACTTTTTGACAGTGTAGATTTAGAAGCGTAACCAGGACGTCCTTCGTTATTTGTGCTCGGGGTTTCATTTAGGCCGCAATGTTATGGAGTTCGTCTGGTTAGAAATTTTATAATAAATGTTTGCTCATATAAAGTGCTTAACTAAGAGCAGAAATAGTATTGATAGAAGAATTGCATACAGCCACTGGAGAGTATTTTGTGCGTAGAATAAAATCAGTCTGCAATGGAAACATTTAAGCTGCTGTTCATGTGCGTTGGATTCGCCACGACAGGTGATTTACTTTTAATATTAATAATTTATTTGCCAGAATACTCAGGAAATATGGCGTCAATTGGATATTTTTGGAATCCGAGTTGTATTTTCAAATTCTCCGGAATCGGAGTCTTATTTTCAAATTCTCCGGAATCGGGGTCTTATTTTCAAATTCTCCGGAATCGGGGTCTTGTTTTCAAATTCTCCGGAATCGGGGTCTTATTTTCATTATCTCCGCAATCGGGGTCGTATTTTCAAAATCTACTGAATCGGAATCGTATTTTTAAATTCTCCGAAAATTTAAAACTGGATTTAAAACTGAATCCGGAATCGGGGTCTTATTTTCAAATTCTCCGGAATCGGCGTTTTATTTTCAAATTCTCCGGAATCGGGGTCGTATTTTCAAAATCTCCTGAATCGAAATCGTATTTTCAAATTCTCCGAAAATTTAAAACTGGATTATGAGACAGGTGTTCAGGATTTTGTCAATTTGTCAATACAATGCAAGTTTCTGTATCAATTATTCTTCTAGTATTGTGCGAACAGAGCTCTTAAATCTTTTCTTATTATACTTATTCCTGTACTGATCAAGGCAATGCAAAAACCTACTGACATGTACCAAAGTTCCTTTATATAGGAATCTTCCCGGTTCAGCATTGCCTACCTAACTAGACTAGTGGTTCCTAATTTAAAAGGTGGGGCGCGCCTCACAAGCGTGGCGTAGACAATTTTTTCAGGGGGCGTGAAGATAATTAAAAATAAAAATATTTGTCAGATATGATCTCGTCAGATCTCTGCATTAATTTCATTATTTACATTCCATTCAGGTATGGCGAGCGCGGTTAAAAAGTTCGAGAAGCATTGGCTAGAGTTAGACCATCTTTGTTACAGTGCCATTTATGCCATATAAAAATTTAGTTTCATATACCCGATAAATGAATACCTCGAACTTTTTTTCTATCATTCCCAGTCGATATTTCTGTGAAAGTGGAATTCAGAGGCAGTGCTGTGATGACGCCATACCGCCATGAGGAAACGATCACGGTGAGTAATTGTGAATCATATCACGCTTATTTGGATGTATATTAACCCTTTTGTAACCGACTCAACTTTGTTGCTTTATTTTCCAGGCAAAGAATGAGCATGGTGAGATATAGGTTAACTTATCACGCTATCTTATTTTATAACACGAATTTAGTTAAGGGCAACCATGTAGACAATTTCTGGGTTTTGTGATATGAATCTCCTTTGGTATTGGATTTTTTAAACAAAACACAACTTGTAAACGCGAAAACCTTTGTCTCCAAATTCGTGCCCAAGTGTCGCGCCCAGGACACAACGTGGCGCGTATAGTAAAGTGACGTACTTTCCATGTTTGAATAATAAATGTCATTCGAATGTTTTAATATTTGGTTCGACAATCGAATCAAATCATTAAGGGTAATTTTTTATTTGATTGATTTTTGGTAAAAAAAAAGCTTTTTTATGTATTGCGTAAATCTTTGCCTAAATCCGAACTTGATTGATATATAAGTTTGGTAAAAACTTTGTTGCCCGCAATAAATTTCCTCATGTAAAAGTGACTACCAACACTAAATAGTTGAAGAAGTCTGATTTCACGAGCTTAGGGTTAGGATTTTGTATTTGTCTGTATTTGGAAGCTGGTGTTGGAGTCAATAATTTATCAACCGGAGTCTGATATACCCAACATAAAAGAAGAAATTAAGATTTGTTTTATTTTGCGCAGAATTGAGAGAGAAATTGGCTAAAACGCTGGAAAACGCTTTGCTGGATAAACAGATAGATGAAGTCACCATAACAACCGAAGTTTACCATGGCAACAAGGTTCATTCAACCCAAGTCACTAAGTTTGACGCAACTACTCCAACTGGACTGGATGACACGACTCTCGTTACGACCTCTAAGGGAAATGACATCACTGAAGCCGTTACGTCATCCGCAACAAGAAGTACTACGGAAGTTCATGACGTCACAACCGCAACTGTGGTTGAAAACGTGTTCACAACTCGATCGATCACTCCCATTGCTTCCACTAAATCGTTCCAGCAGTCGATTTTGACTGCGAACACAGGTTAGAACAAGATTTTTTCATAATATCATGAATAAGAAGACAGCTTACTAGATTTTTTGGTTTATTTGTACAAAAAAACATTCCCTATAACGCTCAAAAGAAGAAAAATAGTAATTATCAATCAAGTTTATTTTTTCCAACTAGTAAAATTACCAACGATCGAATACAAATTACGAGAAAATGATATATATATTTATTGTTACTGGGAAAGGTAACTCATGAGTAACCACAGCTGGTTATCGAATTAGGGAGTTATTCAGTTAGTGTTTGGGTCAGGATTAAAATTGCAGATTACTCTGGGAATTCAAATAATAAGTCTAAACCCAACTATATAACAGAATAAATACTAATTTGTTGTTCTTAATCTAAAACGTGGCGGGGGAAAGAGCTTGTAAAGAGCTTACTCGGAGGGAAAGTCTATAAAATGGAAGCAAAAAACATTCTCTTGAGTGTCATTTTTGTTTTCAGGAAAGTGCGGCTTTACTTACAAGTCGAAATGTTTCCGAGCGATCGTGTATGACGAGTGGAAGGTCACGTTAGATGTTGCTGAATCTATTTGCGATCACAATTTGGCTAATATTTATGACGCCACATACCTCAATTTGCTGAAAGATTATTTACGCACAATTATTCCTGATGGATGGTCAGCGATTGCAGTTCGCACGGGAATGACCTTTAAGGTAAATAAGTAAATTATTGAAACTGAATTGCGTAATATTTTGTACAAAACCCCCGCCAAACAAAGGCCCCTTCCGAAGTATCTGGACCAAGATGGCGGACACCGGAACGTCATATGTGTACCAGGTTGAGGTTAGGCCATAATCCTATTTTAGTTTTCCCTATTTTAGTTTTATTACCTGTTTGGGGACTAGCCAGGTGATTCCCGTAGTATTTGTACCCAAAATTATTGCCTAACCTAACTTGGTACACATACTACGTTCCGGTGTCCGCCACTTTGGTTCACATACTTCGAAAGTACTAAACAAACACTCCCGCCAATGCTCAAAATAAGAAAATTAGTAAACTATCTAGTTAGGGTTAGGAATGCCGATTGCGCCGGAAGTGCGAATTCATTATTTTATCAAATATCTCCTAACAAGATAAATACCCATTTTTTAATTCAAAACGTGGTGGGGTTGTTTTTCACAAATCTCGCGTTTTTTGCATTTCCAAATTCCACTGCTTATGTGACCTCACGTAAACTATTCAATAAATATAGCTATTGAAAGAAATTTTTAGTACACATCTCTATTACCAATATTATTATATTTCTAAGAATATATATTTTATTTTTGCAGAATGGTAACCTATATTTAACCAATGATACAGAAGTATCTTTCCCTACAGAAGTTTGGCATCCGTTTGCTTATGCATCATATACAAATGTTGTTCTTGAAGTTGAACGAAACACGGAGTCCAAACCAGTGATTTATAATGTTTCTCCTTCCCATACATATCGCGGAGCCATCTGTGAAAATGAATTATAACTTTTCCACGGATCGATTGATAGAAAGAAGTAACAGAGAAATGACTTAAATTTGAAAGTAAATGTTCCCACATTTGCAGTTTGATTTACACTTTAACTTAAACAAGTTTTATACTCGCAACATTAATAAAAATAACATAATCTCTTTCCACGAAACAATGCAACATTGCAACATTACAACAACATTGCAACATTACATATAAGTTTTTTTCCCCATGTTTTCGTTCACATATCAAACGATTATGCAATACATTTATTTCAACTAAACAAACTAAATGTCTCTTAACAAGTTTATAACGCGGTTAAATTTAAAATGTCCATCGGAATTGTTGGAAACCTTGAAACCTTTTTGACTTCACTATTTGGGCTTCACTTTAAAAAATTTGGCGACCACTTCTGTAGCAAGAGTGTAAAGGACTACCGGTATTCTATTTAAATAAAATCTTGCCGCACACTAACACAAATGTATTTCTGTAACGTTTCGTCTGACCAAGGTCAGTCTAGTTCATGCAAACATATTTTAAGTGGCAGAAATATGTGTAAGGATGCAGGAAAAATCTTGAATCACGTGGAACAGGGTGGTCCAAACTGCGGCCCGCCGACACAATCCGTGCGGCCCGCAGAACAATTTTAGCGCACGCTACTAACCATCGGCAGATACTTGTACTTATTAGCAGAACAATTTTGATTTATTTTTAAACTATTCCAACTGGGAATAGCCTTTTTCCTAATCCCGATGTCGGGATTGATGTTTATTAATATCACAGAATTTCATTGTATCTATAAACGTCAAGATGGTGGCTATATGCATGGGAATGACATCGTGTGATCGGTAAAAGGAGAATAAATTTTCTTGTGTCTGTCCCAAGAGAAATATGACAATTCTTCCATAATACTGAAATCGTAGCTTGTTGTCGAGAGGCCGTGATTTAACAATTCATTCAGCCATCTTATTAACTTTTTTTTTCGTGGTGCGCGATAAAGGTCCGAAATGCATGTTCTATATAAGTGAAAATTTACTGCTTATGTATCAACAGTTTGTTTATGCCGCTTAATGTTTTTGAAGGGTCCTGAAGGGCTTTTGAGAAGGGTTTGAAATGACTGAAGTTAATCATTGAAAAATCCTACTTTCTGATATATATTTTTTTTAAATGAAATACTTTGCAATGTTTTATTTAGCAAATATTGAATAATTATAATGTTATAAATTGCATTCTGAGTTCTATAATTTTAATTATATTTGGTGGGGCGTTTGTGCGGACAACATGAAGTTGCGCTCAGTGATATTTACACATCATTGTTGGCTTCTTAGACACTCAAAACTATTAATAACAATATCTTCACATTACTTGGGCGATGAAAGGGCGGTATTTGCACCACCCCACGACGGCGAAAATTCCAGCAGGGGCGTTTCCAAGAATTTCCAAAGGGGGAGGGGTTTACATACAGTTTTCGATTAGATCGAGAAATTATAGCATTATCATTACGTAACAATGTGACAATTAAAATTATGCGTCGTCATCAGATTCGATCTGATAATATCCAATATACAAAATCAAGTTTCACATTAATAGTATATTGCATGGGGATACATTGTTTCTTTTCTTATATATTAACATCTCATTGTTAGTCGCACAGAAAAATGGTCAGTAGGCCGCGAACTGAAAAAGATTGAAAAGCACTGGACTAGATTGTTTAAGTTTATCTGGTTTTTCTTCGTTTTTTTGAGGATGATATCGCATTGTGTACTTTACAAATAAGCACTGAATTCTAGAACTATAAACTACCACGCCGAAATACTAGAATAGGTTTTAGCCAGTGAGGGGATTTAAAATTTAGCAAACAAGTTTCATATTCCATTAAACTCGCTAACAACAGGGTTCTTTATCTGTACATGTATTTCAGAAAACTGCGCCAAAATCATAGCTTCAAAAACAAGAACTCTTTCGCTGTTTACTCTTTACTCGTGGTTGTTAACCAGAAGACTGCAGTAGACATTTGTAGTTTACTAGATTACCAATTTTAAACTGACTTTTAGTTTGATTTCAGTATAAAATTACATTGAGTATTTTATAAATGACGCCTCAATCAGAAGACTTCAATAAGTACTCCCGTAGTGTGTGTACCAGGTTAGGTTTAGACCATAATTTTATTCCGATTTTCCCTATTTTAGTTCTTTTACTAGTTGGGGGACTGTTTGTGTTAGCCAAGTGAATATACCCCCCGCCCATAGGTTTCAGTTCCTTTACACAACTTGATGTAAAGTAGGCAAACAAAATTAGTTACCTCCATATTGGCACATACACTTCTGGAGCGCCCTTTAATTTGTTACGCAAAATACCAAGGTTTTACCCGGTGATGAGATTCAAAATTTTGATATCAGGTTCTCATTTGTATTGAACTCACAAACAACAGGTTACCTAATTCCGGATAACCGTGTTTTTAGCCCTGAATCAAGGGTGTGCAACCTGCGACCCGCGGTCCAAATGCAGCACGCATGGCCCCGCGGAGAAGTGCCCGCGAAACAAGTTTTCTCTCTAGGATCGGCCTGGTTATGAATGGCTAAACTGTGTCATAATTCGGGATTATGGCTAAATTAAATGTATTTTGGGGGGTCAATAGTATTTCATAGTGGTCTGCATGTGAACAAAACGAATTTCAAAACTCAAAATGATGGAGTTTAAATTATCCATGCTTGATCCGAGTGTTCTCAATTACGGTGACGTCATCACATTTTTTTATGTATAATTTTTATTTCGCTACAATGTCAATTTTATTTGTATGAATATTTCAAAGCTTAAAAATGAACAAAGAATCTGTTGCTAGTTGAAAACGAAGTATTTTGAACGCGCGAGTAACGTTCTCCGGCTCATAATAAACAAACAAAGATACCAGACAGCACGCGATCAAATGCTCTTCGATAAAACGAATATCACTTCACTTTAAAATCCCACTCTTGTTTTATATTGAAGGTGACGTAAATCTCGTCCAAATGAAAACTCTTTCTCTCGCATATCAATCACGTGTTGACCACAGCGTTAAAAGTGAAAAACTTTTTCTCGAAATTTTTTGAAATTTCTCTCTTTTTACCGGCATATGGTCGGACGCATTTACGCTACGTAATTTGGGCGCGTTTTAGTGGAAAGCAACGAAAATAAGCTTTTTAAAGATATATTGGGGAATGTACTAGCGTGTTTGATTAACTATTTATGTCATATTATAAAAGGGGTATAAAAAGTCGATTGGGACCAACGCATATAAAGGGTTTTAATCCAATCTATTACATAAGAGTAATTCCGATCATTTTGCGTTGCAAAGCCTATACTTGAGTCCAATTTATTATCTATGCCTATGACGTTACAATGCCCTAATACCTAGCTTGTGCGAAGCGAACAACCCATGTCATAAAATCAATAGCTAATATTTTCTTGTCTTCAATTACTAGAAAGCCAATATTAAATAAATGTGCGACCCGCGGTTTCACCCATTTATTTGTATCGGGCCCTCCGGTATTAAAGGTTGCACACCCGTGGCCTAAATAAACAAGATCTCCAAGAACGTTCTTGCAAGCTCCATGAATGTCACCACAGGTTCTAACCATTTCAATTACGCCTATGATATATCAGGGTTTTCCAAACTTTCAGCCTCGCGATCCCTTACAATCAAAGTCGGCATTGTGATGTAGCCGCCAACTTCCCTGATCATATATAGTCACTAGAAATCGCGAGATTTATCTTGTAAGCGCAAGGTGTAATAATTGCGTTTCGAATCAAAAGTCTAAAAAAGAATAGTCAATATAGTACTTTGTGTGAAATGCCAATTCCACATGCCAATTTGCATAATATTCAAAATTTATATTAAGGAGAGAAAAGCTATGAACGAATTGGCGACCATGTTATCCTACCCAATCAATTCCGCTGCATTCAACATTGAAGCACGGGGATTATGGTTACTTAATTAATAAATTTCATAATTAAGTCGTAATTCAGTGATTTCTGATATAACTGCATTTTGTTTGATAGATTTCTGCCTAACGAACTATTTTTATTACATTTCTCGAACGTGTTGATTAAAAAATTTCAGTTTATTATTTGAATGATAAAATTATATTGAACTGTTTAAAATTTATTTCATACAAATTAATTTCAAGTAATTTCAAAAAATTAAATGTTTGTTACTTCATAGATAATGGCTTAAAACAGTGATTTCTGAATCATATGGTATTTTGAAGTTTAAAAACAAGGAGTAATCCTTCAGTTATTTGCTATCTGAACCAAAACAAAACTCGAACTCAAAATTACCGCAAACCAAATGTCCGTAATACTTAACTTATTTTAAAACATCTTTGGCGTAATGAATTATTTTTTTCATTTTTTTATATTGTTTTATTATTCCTCACATCATTTTTTTCAGCATTTTTTCTCGCATAATTTTTTATTTCAATATAAGTCTTTTTAGCGCCGAAAGAACGTTATCACTCGGTTAAAAAGTACTTTCAGTAAAATGCTAGCTATGTCGGGGATAACAGCTTTATAACTAAATAACGTTTACTTTGCCTGATAAGACCCAAGGGCCAGCACCAAGTTGATTCACCCCTGAACTTTTGAGTTTTCCGTTTGTTTATTAAATTGAATTCCGACATAATTTCATAAAATTAGGATTTTTGTTTCCGAATAAACTATGAAGAATTCAAGTTTGTGAAGAAGTCCCTGCACCTTTAAATCGTCTAACTTTGATTTCAAAATGAACACATTTTATTGAGAATTTACATTTTCATGGTTGCCTAAAAATGACAATTTAAATTGCTTTTGAAGAACTCTGTATTGTATAGTTTGAAAAACTGAATGAAAACCAGGAATAAAACAACCGAAACGAGTTCGATTTAGAGTTATCTTAGTAGATGAGGTGCATTTGTAAGATATTTTTCGAATTGTTTTCTAATTAGCCCTAAATAGATTTTTATCAGCCGAGAGTTCAATAAAAAATTTGTTTTGCCCTTTGATTTGTTAATTGCCAAGTTGAGTTGGACCATCTAGCTAGTGTATGATACAAAAAATTACAATACCCTTACATTACTTGGGCGCGGCGAAGGGAGAATTATTCTGCCACATTTATCTATACCACCCTACGATGACGAGAATTCCAGCAATCCTTTCTCAACTGAATATCACCACGATATCGAAACCCAGAAACGTACACGATTAATCATCGTTGAAATGTCATGCTGGTTGCTAGCGCTTAGCACGTTCGTTGACCCCGTTTCGTTTTTTTTATTTTTATTTATTCATATATAAAACACAGTTGATCGGTACATCTACAACATCATTAATCACTAATCATAAACAATACACAATTAATCATATAAGATAAGCAGTAATTGTATCATAAAATTTTCCATTTTTGATCATGTTTCTTTATTTTGCCATTTTTATATGCAATAAACCGTTCAATTCCCCCACTTCATACAGATATGAAGTAAAAACAATAAAAAGTGGTTTCTTTTTCCGTATCTTACAACGATATAGATAAATCCGGGCAGCAAGAAGTATACAGTTACACAATTTGTTATAAAAATTACAAACATATCCCAACATGCAATCTCTCTTTGGAAATATAAAATTAATCTCTGTTTTTTAGTATATCCACATGTTTAGAGTTTCCCAAAACTGTTGAACAACTATACAATCATAGAAAAGATGGCTGATAGTTTCAACATTAGAATGACAGAAATCACATGACTCTTATGGAACCAGTTTAAATTTATACAATCTATCGTTTAGTACTATGGCACCATGGAACATTTTTACATGAGAGGATTGCATTTTGGTTTCAATAGTACAATAAAAGATATTCATATACAATTTATTCCAATTAAAATCACTCTCTAAAATAATAAGATCTGCCCAATTTTTTCTTGATTTATCAGGGGATATAAATTTGATCAGGTTTAACCTTTTATAGATACTTTTATTTATTTTTTCTGATTCGAATGTTTCAGAAAGAAAATGAGATACATTCTTTTCGGGGTCACTTACACTAAAATCAATACAGTTTCCAATATTGCATAACCAATCGTCAGGTAAAACTCCAGTGATGCGATAATAATTTACATACTCTTCATCACTATATTGT